TGGGGCAGTTCCGTCTTTCAGGGGTCACTGTGAGTTGCTGTGATTCACTTAACCGTGCCACAAACCGAACCATAAAAACCAAACCTGCTGCTGTCAGTTCCGGCAATTCTGTCTCATAGCAACCCTCGAGGACAGTCGAACTGCCCCATAAGGTTTCCAAGGCTTTCATCTTTACTGAAGCACACTGCCTCATCTTTCTCCCAAACTGCTGGGGAGTCAGCAGCCATGAGCTTAACCACTGCATCACCAGGGGCCCCCAGTAACAGAGGAGTGTTCTTGATTTGGCTTGCCCTTTGCACATCCATGTATTTATTCATTCAACTGAGCTGTGCTGCGTGCTCACAGCGCACCAGGCCCAGTCCCAGCCCTGGCATGCTCACAGTTACAAGGATATTCATTGGAGTAAGTAAGCCTGGGTTTGTTCCCTGAAGCCTCTCTGAAACTACAACATGATTTTTGGTCTTTGCCCAGTAACGTGTCCTGCTCTCAAAATAACAACTCTCCTCCCATTTTAGATAGTGGGTGTGTTACTAGGAGAGGCAGGAGAAAGAAACCTGCGAATGAGACTTCCTCTCCTTCAGGGGCCGTGGTGTGTTGGCATGGGCAGTACAGCTCAGCTCTGGATTAGATATTCCTGATGTCTCTGTAGGCCCTGACAGCCAGCACTGATACCTCACTCAGGAAAGGTATACCCATATGCAGCTCTTTGCTATGCTGTTGTTGTTAGCTGCTATCGAGTCAGCTCCAACTCACAGTGGCCCTATTTGTAACAGAATGAGACGCTACCCAGTCCTGTGCCATCTTCCCAGTTGCTATGATTGAACCCATTGCTGTTGCCACTGTGCCAATCCATCTTGTTGGGGGTGTTCCTCTATTTTGCTGACGCTCTACTTGACCAAACTTGATATCCTTCTCCAGACACTGGTCCTTCCTGATGACATGTCCAAAGTATGAGCGAGGAAGTCTGGCCATCCTGGCTTCAAAGAGCATTCTGGTTGTACTTCTTCCAACCCAAATTGGTTGGTTCTGACAGTCCATGGTACTTTAAATATTCGTCTCCAACACCGTAACACATATGCATTAATTCTTCTACAGTCTTCCTTATTCAATGTCACATGCATATGAGACAACTGATAATACCATGGCTTACCTTTAGTCCTCATACTGATCTCTGTGTTCTTAAACACTTTTAAGAGGGCCTGTGCAGCAGATTTGCCTCTTTACTATATTGAACCTTAGAAGAAAAACCCTCTAAGGCATTCTTCAATATATTGAAAAACAAGATGTTAAAGGGAATACATACCAATCCTAGAAATGCCATTTGTCAGGACACTTTAGCCCCACCGTCTGGCCTCTGTGTTTTATTTGAGCAGTTTCCAACCACGAGAAACTAATAAAAAACCAAGGGGCAGAGCTTCTAGCCCATTACCTTTCAGATCCTTCAGGCTACCCGTAACAGTCATGTGAAAATAATCACTTGCTCTAATGAGCATCTTAGACTTTCTTGTGAAGACACTGGAGTTTCAGGAACTTGACTTTAGGTTAATGAAAAATATCCATACTCTGTGGTGGTGGTGGTGGTGGTGGTGATGTGCCATGGAGTCGTTTCCGACTCATAGCGACTTTGTACAGGTTTCCTCATACTCAGTAAGATCCCCGCTTTCTCAGAATCTATAAGCAGCATGGTATGGCATCATTGAATCTCACACCCAACACTCTCCTTAGTCCAGTTTCCCACCCTGAGAATGAATATATGCTTAATATTCCAGAGAGAAAGAAGCCTGGTGGTTCTGTGGTTAAGGTACCCAGCTGCCAACCGAAAGGTCACCAGTTCAAACCCACCAGCTTCTCCATGGGAGAAAGATGAGGCAGTCTGCTTCTGTAAAGATTTGTTGTTGTTAAGTACCATTGAGTAGGTTCGCACCTATAGCGACCCTTTATAGGGTTTCTGAGGAGCGGCTGGTAAGCTTGAACCACCGACCTTGTGGTTCAAACTGACTCTGCAGTCCAGCGCATTAACTCATGGCACCACCCCAGGACTCTGTAAAGAAACAGGGCAGGTCTCTTCTGTCTAAAGGGTGGCTGTTAGTAGGAATCGATTTACCAGCAGTGAGTGGTTTTTTTGTGTTTTTTGTGTGTTTTTTTCAATCCCTAAGAGATAGCTATCAACCATCTCCAATGGTCATGGTGAATAAGACCAAGAGCTTACAGCTTCATTCCTAGACTAGAGAAGTCAGAAGCCCAGGTCTGCCTTTTCGGGGACCCAGTGAAGCATAGAAAGTAAAGCTGACAATGACGCCAATATCCAGTGTAGGCAGTTGAAAGGGCTCAGCCTTCTTTATACTGTGATGGTCAGAGATGTCTCCCCATCCTCCTCCACTATCATTTGGTGGTGAATTGCTAATTTATGAGTCTGACTCATCCTGGCAGGCAAACATGGGCTCTTTGTTCATTGCAGGGATGTGCTCAGCTTGCTGCACAAGATTCAGTATCTCCAACAAGCAGACGTCTTGTCTTGCAGGATCCTTATTTCTTAATAAGTAGCTCAGAGGAGACAGGCATCTCCTTTGTCAAATCAACTCTCAATCTCACAAGTGCTTTCCCCATTTGGTTCTAAAAGTGACAACCTGGCATTGATCCGAAATCTAGTCAGAAAGCCATGGGCCTCTTCCACATGGCCCCTCAAGATCCTCTTCTCACCCACAGTTCTCCTGAGAAACTTGAGGATTGAGCTACCTACCCAGTGGGCTTGAGTGGCAGTGGAGGTGGATAGAGAGGAAAGGGGGAAGGTTGGAATACAGCATAAATAGAATACCATGTCTGTGATTGTGAAAAGCCAAGAGCAGACATTTATCACACACTAAACTTGGAGTCCTGGTGTGGCACCGTGGGTTAATGCGCTGGACTGCAAGGTCGATTTTAACTGCAAGGTTGGTGGTTCAAGCCCACCAGCTGCTCCTCAGAAACCTTACACAAGGTCACTATGAGTCCAAACCAACTTGACGGCACTTAACAACAACAACAAACTTGGAACAGTCCATGTCTGCTCGCAGCTGATAAGATGATAATTTGCGTGTGTATGTGTGTGTGGTAAAAGATATATATGGAACATTTGCCAATTGAACAGTTTTTACATGTATAATTTATTGACATGAATAAGGTTCATCATGTTGTACAACTATCCCCATTAACCCTCTAGAGATACTGTTCACCACCATAACAGAAACTCAATGTTGCCTAAGCAGTGACTCCTCCCTTCTCCCTTCCTCCTCCCACCCCTAGTAACTTCCAATAAGCATTGGTCTCTGTAAATGACATCAAAACATTTGCCCTTCTGTAACTGACTTATGTCATTCAATGCTTTCAAGGGCCATCCAATTTGTATCATGCATCAGAACTTCATGTCTCTTTATGAACGAGTAACATTCCAGTCCCTGGAGAAGGATATCATGCTTCATACAGTGGAGGGTCAGCAAAAAAGAGGAAGACCCCCACCCCAACAAGATGAATTGGCGCAGTGGCGGCAGCAGTGGGCTCGAGTGTAATGATTATGAGGGTGGTACAGGACTGGGCAGCGTTATGTTCTGTTATGTGTAGGGTCACTATGAGTTGGAACTGACTCAACAGCACCTAACAGTAACAATATCCCATTGGGACGATTCCTAGGTGGTACAAGTGGTTTGTGCTCCTCTACTAAACTGAAAGTTGGCATTTCGAACCCAGAAACATCATAAAAAAGTTCTAGTAAATGGACTTCAGATGTGGCAATGTAGAATAAGCACTGGACTGCTAACCACAAGGTCAGTGGTTCAAACCCATCAGCCGCTCCTTGGAAACCCTGTACAGAGTCGCTATGAGTTGGGACCTACTGAACAACAATAATCTTCCACAAAGACTATAGTAACCAAGATGACCCTATGGAGCAGTTAAACTCTGTAACACATGGGCTTGTCATGAGTCAGAATCCACTTGATGACAGTGGGTTTGTTGGGTTTCTTTTCAATATTCCATTGTATGTTTCTATTTGCCTTTTGTTTATCTATTCATCTGTTGATGACTCTTGGCCTGTTAAAATAGCCACATCAATAAGTGCTCATTGGTCATGCTGTATGCATCTACTTCTTTGATACAACTTCCATGACCTCAGTGTGGTGTCTTCATGTGGGTCACACATTTCATAGTTCAGTAAGGGATCGCTGGGTAGCAGTGTACTTAGAAGAGAAGGCAGGGATCAGAGATACGTTATCTGGAGAAGGGAAGAGGGCCAGACATTGTCTTAAGGAAAGGACTGACTGAGAGTCTGAAAAAAAGACCCTTTGTCCCAGGCACTGCTTGGCATGGCATTTCAGCCTGACAGGATCTCCTGTCTCTTGCTGATTTGATGATAAAATATAGAGTGGAGCCACAGGGAGAGCCAAAGCGTCAAGAACTAGATGGATAATTGGCTCTGTTTGAGCACTGTTTGTGTGCTCACCGCTGTAACTGAGTTGCCGCGCCAGCATGACTAATGCCTCTCCCCTTCACCTAAATTAGATTTTGATTGCGTTTCGTAGATATTCACTGAATCACAGATGTTTGCAGTAAAAAGACCCAGACTTCTCAGGAACGCTTCCTGTGGAGTGTGTGGGATCATCCTCTTAGGCCTGAGTCTTCCAGCACACAGCTGAAGGACTAGGAGTAACTCCTTTCCTCCCAGGGCCGTAGGAGCAAATCAAGGGAGTTTTGTAACGGTGTGGGCCTCTGGTGGCCAGTGGGCTGCAGGCCCTGAGCTCCCACGAGGGGTTCAGTGGAGAGCCATGCCTCAGCATGGATGTGGCACGTGTGTTGCATCAGTGACTAATGGCTTTTATGCGGCAGAGTGTCCTGTGCCTCATGGTTTTCATGGAATCGCTGCTGGACCAGGGGTGGCAGGTGAAGGTCCCTGCTAGTTGGTCCTCAGCAGTTGCACCAGTTCTGACATGTTGTGGGGCCCTCGTCAACACTTTCTCTTTTTGTTGCAGAATTTAGCCTATGAAATCATCCTAACCCTGGGACAGGCATTTGAAGTTGCTTACCAGCTAGCACTCCAAGCAAGAAAAGGTGGACATTCCTCCACACTTCCAGAAAGTTTTGAAAACAAACCCTCCAAACCCATCCCCAAGCCCCGCGTTAGCATTCGCAAGTCGGTGGTAAGTAGAAGAGATACAAATTTTGTAAAAAGCTGGAGCAGGAGGGAGAGGGGATTGATTGCTCTCTGGGCCCTTGAATGCTGTGGATGCCATTTAGAATCAGCTTCCTCCAGTGTGTATGGGCTATTGTCTCGTCCGGGTTGTAGCAAAATCAACGTGGAGACTCAGAGAAAATTCACCTTTTACTAAATCTCACCTGCAGTGACCATGTAAGGGCACTGGGCACTACTGCAGTCCTCAGAGAATCTTTCCCGTAGTTTCAGGAACATTCCCTGGGACTTCAGGTGCCAAGCCTCTAGCCTCTCCTGAGCCCCTGGCCATATTAAGCTTTGCAAAGGTGGTCCAGGAAGGTGTCTCACTCCCAGCTAGAGAAAGCTCTGCGTGGAGTCCCATGAGCTGCTCTGCCGTGCAGTGCGGGCCTGCGCCCGGGTCCTGGGTCCTTTCTCTCTGGCAGCTGAGGCATCTGTAGAGCGCTGACAGCTCAGAAGGTGCAGACCCCCCCGCCCCTCCTCCTAGTCATCTGCCTTCCTCCAGGAATTCCCTCCCTTTCCCTCCCACAAGCTCTGAGGACAGCTTGTCCTTGCAGGCTGTCAAGACTTCAAAGTGGTCTCCTGGTAGTAGCAATACCCACAGCTGGAAGGTTCTTAACCAACCAGCCTCCTTTCTGCTCCTGCTGCTGTTTCGCTCCTAGAAACTTGGGGACTTGCACAGAGCCGGCAGACATCACCCAGAATGCATTGCTCTTACGCCCACGTGGCCTTCCATCTGGAGCTCTCTCCTCCTTCCCACCTATCCCGGTCTTCAGTGTCATGGGGGAAAGGAAGATTGTTTCATTTTGCAGAGAGGCATCCCCCCTTGTGATCATGTGGGCTGCTTGTTTACAATCGTCTTCTCTGGCCCCAGCGCCTGTCTCTATTCTGGGCTTCTTCAATGTCCACGGTAGATCCAATCAGCATCTGGCTCCTCATTCCCGGGGATCTTTTCTTGACCCCATCTCAGCCATTCACACCTCCTCTAAAAACCTAATACGACCCTCAGACTACCTGATGCTCCCACCTCAAAACCTACCCAAGCCTACTGACCCCCAGTTCTCTATCTTTAGCGCTGACCTACCCATTAGAATGCCAAACATATATCTTCAATTTTCTCCTTAACATTCCGACTGTGACACCCAAACCTTACAATGTCCAGGAAAGGACGCTTGATTTTTCCCTCTAGGTTTGCCCCATCGCAGTAAGTGGCACAGCCATTCATCCTGCCAAAAATCTAGGCGTCACTCCGGATTCCTGCCCTTTTTTAATCCCTATCCAACCCACCAGCAAATCCCCTCCACTTCATCCCTGAAACCTATCTGAGATCCTTCTACTCTGTCCATTTCTGTTGCCACTGTTCAAGTCCAAGCTGCCATCAGCTCTCAATAAACACTCTGCAGCTCACCTGCTAATGGGCCACTTCACACACAGTAACCAGAGGGATCTTCCGAAGACATGAATTGGGTCACGTCACCCCTGCCCCAACTACCTGAAGCTTAATTACCCAGCTTACTCTCCTGTGACACTGAAGCCTTTGGTTTCTCGAACATACAAGAGGGCTACAAAAAGTTCATGGAAAAATTCCATTTTCTTTCCACTCCATTTTTCCACGAACTTTTTTAAGTCCCCTAGTACAAAGCCCAGAGTCCTGGTGTGATGCTGTAGGATAAGCACTGAACCACAAGGTTGGTTTGAACTGCAATATCTACAGTTCAAACTCACCAGCTGTTCCTTGCAAGAAACCCTGTACAGGGTTGCTATGAGTTGGAACGGACTCAATGGCCCTTAGCAACAATAAAGTACAAACCTCACTCCTACCAGAGGCCTTGTCCCACCTTTTTCCTATACCTGGGATAGTCTCCCTCTAATTTCTGCCTGACTGACTCCATCTTGTCATGAATCTTGTCATTCAGGTGTCAGCTGCTCGAAGAGATGTCTCCTGACCATCCAACCTGAGGTAGATGCCCAGTCAGGCTCAAGTGTGTCACCTGCTTTAAATTCTCTGTGACCTTTATTCATTGAGTTGTATTTTTGTTGTTGGTTTTTCCTCTTTGTTTTTTGTCATCACCTGGGCCAGACCCTTTGCTGGTGCTCAGTGAATGTCTGTGAGTAAGTCAGTGAGGATTTAACAAAAACATCTTGGGGAAGGAATAGGCTATAAATGCCCAAGAATGTTCAGCATGTTGTGTTTTTAAAATTACCTCTTAGGTTATTGTGTTTATTTTCACTGTGGACTTTGATAAATCTATTCATGGTAGGTGCCTCCATCTGACTTTAAACCTGGCCCCCTCCAGCAGAGCACAGAAGAGTGGGTACCATAAGGGCTCAAAGAATATGCATCTAAAAGCCTGCACTGGGAAATGTAAAGGCACACACTGAGTGATTATGGTCTTTGCCTGCCTCCGGAGCCTCTGTTCTCCTCATCCAGTGGCAATGTTCCCTTGCTCTCCGCTCCAGTTGACAACTCTCTAGTAATCCCTGATGAGACAGGAGGTCCTCCCCCTCAGTCTTGTTGCTGCGGAGCTTATGGCTCAAGAGAATAGGAGAGGCCTTCCACGGCTCTGTGCCCTCCAGCTCCTGAACATAGCAGGTGATCAGGGGCAAAGGTGGCTACACCAAAAGTTGTAGCAGCAATTTGGGCAAGAGTTCACCCTGAGCCTTCACCTCAGGAATGACCTGTGTTACAGCGACTAAGCCATTTTATAGCACAGCTGGATTTGGTTCAGGACTTCTCTTGGTGTAGCCACTGATACAAGCAGACCCTGAGTTACAGACAAGATCTGTTCCTAACTGCCTTTAAGAACTTGTAAGTAAGTTGAACATGCAGTTTGTATTTTTGCCTTACTTTAGTACAAGAAAAGGCTCGAAGCCTTTCCAGTGTTATCAAAAAAGGTGGTGATGATGAAAAATTTGTTCCTAGTAAGGGTTGGTTGAATCCTTTCAAAGTGAGGGCCAATTTACACAACATTAAAGGGCAAGGAGGAGTTGTCCATAAATCGGATGTTCGTAACCCAGGGACTTCCTGACTCTTTGCCCTCTGTTCTCTCCCGTCTCATCTTCCTCTGTGCAGACCCACTGCACGTGTTCAGAGGGCCTGAGGCTTGGCACATGCTGTTCCTTTTTCCTCAAATGTCCCCTCCTCCCACCTTTCCTAGGCAAACTCTTGTTTATCTTGTGACTCTCCATTTAGACACTGCCTTATCCGTTTATTTTTCAGTAGGTATTTATTATGCGCCTACTATTTACTGGAAGGAGCTCTGGTAGCGTAGTGGTTATGAATCGGGCTGTGAACCGCAAGGTCAGCAGTTTGAAACTACCAGCTGTTCTGCAGGAGAAAGATGAGGCTTTCTGTTCCCATAAAGATTTAGAGCCTCAGAAACCCTGTACAGGGTCGCTATGGGTCAGAACCGACTCCACGGCACATAATAGCAACAACAACTATTTACTGGATTGCCAGGAGCTCTCCTGAGTTCTGGGAAACAGTAGTGAGCAAAACTGACAAAATCCTGCTTTCGTGAGCATACCTTGTAGTGGAGAGTGGACATAAAACTATATGATATGTGTGCTGATCAGGACAATGAAGAATAGAGCAGAAAGAGAGGACAAGGAAGCCACTGAAAAATAAAGCTGAAGATGGTGTTTGAGCCAAGACCCAAATGGCATAAAGGTGTCAAGTCTGCAGGTCTCTGGAGAAACGTTTCCTGGTCAGGCAGATGGGGAGCGCAGAGGCCCTGGATGTGGGATTGGAAGGCAGGAAACAGCCAGGAAGCAGTGTGGTTGGAGCACAGAAAAGCAGGCAGTCAGGGGCCCCGTAGGCCATGGTGAGGTGAGGTGAGGCAAGAGTGATGGAGAACCAAAGAGTGACATTAGCTGCCTCATCTCCATCCAGAGCCTCCCGGGTGCCCACACATGGGTTGTGTGGCCTTCCTGTGTGCCCCCAGAGCCCAGCCCTGTACCCGTTAGCTCACTTCTCACACTGGACTGAAATCAGTTAGTGTGTAAGCACTCTGCCTTTGAGGGCAAGAACTGTATCTCATTCACCTGTTCCTCTGAGTAATGCAATCAGTGTGTGTCACAAGGATTAACAGGTGACTCTCATACACAAGCATTACTTGAGTCCTGCCTGGGCTTAGTGGGGCCTCAGGTTGGTTTCCAGGCAGAGTTAAGATGCATGTGTGCCCACCTGTGCAGGTACCAACCGTATAACAGGCATCAGCCTTTTTGTTTTAAAGCAGATCGACCCATCTGAGCAAAAGACTCTGGCCAATCTGCCGTGGATTGTGGAGCCGGGCCAAGAAGCCAAAAGGGGAATTAATACCAAGTATGAAACCACGATTTTCTGATACCCACCGTCCTCCCCTCCTTGCGGTGCCTTGCACGCCAAGCAGTCCAGGAGCAGGTTTTCCTTCGCGCCTCCGTTTCCACCCAGCCTCGGAGGAAGACCGCTCTGTTTGTGGCCTTGACATGGGCGAGAGGCCGCTGGCCGTTTCTGCGAAGTTCTTTCTGCACCAGTGACAGAGAATGCAACCAAGACTTTCCAGCCACAACCCCTGAGAGGCAGGAGTTGTAATGTGTTTCCCCTGACACTCCCAACACCCCGGCCCAACTACAACCCAAGGTATTTCTTATGACTCTGCCCCCAGTTACTTGCTTTGCTTTCTTTGGGGTGAATACCTTTTAAAAACATCAAAGGGGATCGCTAATACTGCCTAAAAAATCTTGGCTTTCTTTTTCACGGTCAGCCATTTTAGAGGTAAAATCAGAACAGAATGACCCCCACAAAAGCATCTGTAAGATCATTGTTATCACTGAGTATTGTTTAATTAATCCAGAAGGACAAAAACTAGCCCCCCATGATTGCCAAGAAATTGTTTCCCGATTTCTATATTTGTGGATTTTCTATGTAATCAACTATGTCAGATAAAGAAAGCCTTTACATCTAATGATGGATTCAAAATTTAAGGATGATTTTTTAAAAGTGCAGTTTAATACACACAGAAAAAAATGTGTCTTGTATTACATATTTTTATTAAAAGAATGTTTCATTAATGCATTGATAAGAAAACTAGGTTCGTTGTGAGGGATGTTTTTGCTTTCATTTCCAATCATTGAATTTCTATATGACTACAAAGAAGACTGGCTCAGTTGGGCAAAATACAGATGATACGTAATGAGAACAGGAGGTTCGGGCAAGCAGCCTGGCGTTGAACCGAAAGTGCTGATGCAACCACAAAGCCTGCGAAGTATTTTGTTTTTTGGGCTTTTTTTTTTTTTTTTAAATCTTCATAGTATTTTAAAGAACATGTTCAAGAAATAAATACAAAACAAATAAAAATAGGGCTTCTGCTGTCAAGATTTCCTCCATGGAAACCTTGTTTGAGAAAGGTGTTAATAAAATTCTATTGCAAAAATTTTTTTTTCTACAAAAACAATAAAAAAAAATAAATATATATAAAAGAGAAAATATTCCAAAGTAATAAAACTCTTTTCTTGAGAAACAAAAATAAATGTTTGCTTACAATTTGACTAAATAAAATTTACTTACATTTCTTTAAGCTATTTTAATTTTTTAAATGTCTCTGTGGAGTATTTGTATGATACCATAATGTATATTTCTGTAGAATCAAATTATATAAACAGTATCAATATCATTATAGAAGAAATTAACATTTTAATGTATATGGTTCTAATCGATCATATTGTGACTCATTTTGAAGTTCATTATAGCGATATTGATAAATTGTGAGATTGTCTTAATGTTTTTTTTATTATTAACCAATATTATTTTAAACCTGAGATTATTGGTTACATTCATCAGTTGGTGAGTTTTGAAGAAGGATGACTAAACTTTATTTGAAACTGACAAATGTATACGGTTTTAGTTCAGTGTTGAAAAATTTTAATACAATATTAAATTACTTGAACCGAACAATTGTTTGTACATATTTTGCCTATTCACTGTTGATATGTATGTAGTAAATTGAGAGTCAAATAACACTAAAATATGGTACCAAAAGGAAATTGTATAGGAGCAAAGTAAATAGTAGCTTCGCTGGAACAGAAACATGTGTAAATATGCTTGGGCTTCCAGTTATAAATTTTGTAATTTTTGTCATTATTTATATCCTATATTAAAAAAAAAAAAGCACACAAAATAAAACAGAAGTTGTACAGCCATGGTGCTTGGCATTGTTCTGTGAGCACCTCCCCACTTCCTGGCAGAAACAGAACCAAAGGGCCGGCCTTGTCAGCATCCAGGACTCCTGGTGTGGCGCTGTAGGATCAGCACTGGACTGTGAGCCACAAGGTCAAGACTTCAAACCCACCAGCTGCTCCTCAGAAACCCTACACAGGGTCACTGTGAGTCGGAACCGACTCAACAGCACTTCTTAACAACAACAGTTGGCAAAATTGTTGAACAATTTGTGCAGTTTCTAATTTCAGCCAGTCTGAGAAAGATAGATTAGCCTTGGAAACTTGAATTTCAACCCAAAAGCCCCACTGTTTTTAACTATTAAAGTGGGGTACTAAGGATGGCACCTAAAAAATGGATCAAAAACCAAACCAGCTGCCTCTATTCCAAGTCAAGTCCCACTCAGGGCAACCACAGGTGTGTCAGAGCAGAACTGTCCTCCATAGAGCTTTGGCTTTTCATGGCTGAGATCTTTCAGAAGTACATCACCAGGACTTTCTTCCTTGGTGCCTCAGTGGATTTGAATCACCAACCTTTCATCTAACCATTGGCGCTACCCAGGGGCTTAGCTGTAAGGAGGAGTTGCAAAATTGAAATTTCTAAAATTCCTAAAAGAGAAAGGATTACCAAACAGGATCACTTTTATATTAAGTACAATATAGCATTCTTTATCTACATGATGATTCTTTCATTTTCCCTAAAGCCTGTGTGCCTGCTGGCAACAGAGTGATCCATGGCTGCATTAGAAGCACCCTGCAAGGGTCAATGATTCACATCCCGCATTCTGTCACTTTCTGAATCCCTGAAGTTGGATTTAAATCTGTTCAAATCCATACCAAAGTCATCGCCAGATGCTCCCCGCCAGCTTGACTTATAGAGACACCAGGCTTTGAAGCCCAAAGATCTAAAATTAGCCCAAGGAAGGGTGAGACTTGCTGAGGCAGAAGGGTGGTATCAAATAGGAAGGTTTGGACAGAAGTTTAACCTTTTCTTGTGAATTGGGTGAAGGTTTACAGAGCAAATCAGTTTTCCATTCAGGATTCACACACATTTTGTTTCATGTCAATGATTGCAGTCCCCACGTTGTAGTATCACTTAGTCCACTTCCTTTCTCTGTTTCTATCCCACCTCCCCCTTCCTAACGTTTGAACTTTGTCCTTGGATAAATGCTGCCCTTTTGATTTCAGATGGTTGATTACGGTTATCTTTCCCCTTATAGATCAGTCTATTGTTTGACTAAAAACAGCCACAGGAATGAGTCCTTTCCCAGACCTGAAGGACCATAGTTTCAGAAGCTTCACCAATAAGCTAGGTCTTGTTTATGATTTTGAGCTTTGTTCACAATTTTCTCCAACTCTATCCAGGACTTTCTAACGTGATCCCTTACAGAGCAGTTGGGAGTGGTAGGCAGGCCCTGTCTAGTTCTTCTGTTCTCAGTATGCTTTCAGGCTGATGTTCCTGTGGTCCATCAGGCCACTGGACTAATTGTTTCCTTGTGTCTCTGATTTCTTCACGCGTCTCTGCTCCAGACGGGAGAACCAATCGTTGCACTTTAGACAGCTAGGAGGATAGCTTTGAAGACCGCAGTGGCTACTCATCAAACCAGGATGTAGAACAGTGTGCTTGTGAACTTTGCTGTATCAGTTCACCTCCACACCCTCTAAGACTATGGTCCTGAGCCCCTAGGCCCAGTGACTCATTCCCTCAGAGTGTTCCGTCATCTCTAAGAAGTTCTCACAACTTTTGGGCAAGGATTTTAGATTGTAGGTTTCCACAGAGTTAGTTTGGACCTCTTTGATCTTTGGGGACACCGACCCATTGGTTCTGACTCATAGTGACCCTACAGAATACAGCAGAACTGTCCAGAGGACTTCCAAGGCTGGAATCTTTGTAGGAATAGACTGCCCATTCTTTCTCCTGCAGAGCAGCTGGTGAATTCCAACTGCTGACCCGGGTCAGTAAGCAACAAAGCACTTTAACCCCTATATCACCAGGATTCCTTTGTTGACACCAAGGGGTCAGTAATCCTATTTACTGTTTGTGAATGGAATGCTTATTTGTATTTGTATTCCCAGCATGAAGCAGATGGGACACTCCAATTGGGATGATTCAAAAGTCTATTTATAGGATGATTGAAAAAGTTTTGGAAATAAATAGTGGTGAATGTTACAAAAAGTCTGTGTTTGTGTGTGTGTACATACAGCCTGTATGGGACCCTAGTAGGCACAATCATTAAGTGTTTGGCTACTAATCTAAAATTTGATGGTTCAAACACTTTGTTGTTAAATGTCGTTGAGTCAGTTCCGGCCCATAGCGACGACGTTGTATAGGGTTTCCAAGGAGCAACTGGTGAGCTTGAACCACCTACGTTGTGGATCAAACCAACTTTGCAGTCCAGCGCATTAACCCTCAGCGTCACACCAGGACTCCAAATGATCTTATTGTTAGTATTCACATAATCTAAGAATTGTTACATTTAAGCAGGTTTGTTTGTTGTTGCTAAGTTCCATCACATCAGTTCCGACTAACAGTGGACCAAGCAGAGGGTTTCCAAGGAGCCAGCTGATGGATTTGAACCACCAACCTTGAGGTTAGCAGTCCAGTGCTAATGGTACAACACCACACCAGACTATGGTTAAAATTGACAATGTTGTTCATTGCTGTTGAGTTGGTTCCGACTCATAACAACCCTGTATAGATTTCCATGGTATGGTTGGTGAGCTTGAACTGTTGACTTTGCATTTTATTCTGTCTTAGGGGGTTGCCATGTGTCAAAATCAACTCAGCAGAACCTAACAACAGTAAGCAGTGCGTTAGGAAACCAAAGGACATGGTTGGGCCTGAATGGGATGAGAAGAGAGTCAGAAGGAGAGGGGTACCCAATAGTTGAGGGGCATGGGCCACTGCAGCGACCCTCAGATGCTAATGAGTAGATTCTGACTCTTTGCAAGTAACCCTTATGTGTTAGGATTCCAAAGGGTTTTCATTGGCTTTCTTCCAAGGCACCACTGATTGAATATGAACCTCCCAGCCTTTCAGTTAGCAGCCAAGCACATTAACCATTTGCACATCCAGGGATTCTGCAAGGGTATGAAATACAGTAAGACCCTGAGGTATGAACTACCACTTGCCCTTTGTTGTTGTTGTTGTTATGTGTCATGGAGTTGGTTCCGACTCATAGCGACCCTGTATAGGGTTTCTGAGGCTGTAAATCTTTATGGGAGCAGAAAGCCTCTTTCTCCCGCAGAACAGTTGGTAGTTTTGAACTGCTGACCCTGAGGTTAGCAGCCCGATTTGTAACCATTACGCTACCAGAGCTCCTTTTATGTTATGTAAATATTAATATTAATGTTATGTAAATATTAACTTGTAAATATTAAGTTAAAATGTTAACTTGCCCTTTAATGTTATGTAAATCTATCCTCACTTTGAAATGATTGAACCAACCCTATTCACAACAAATTCCTCATCACAATCACCTTCACTTGCTGCAAGTGCAACTTGTAAATCATTGAAAAGCCTTTGAGCCTTCTCTTGCACTAAAGCAAGGCTAATTAAGAACTCTGCACCTGTTCCAACAGAGCTACGAATTCTATTTCAAGACGAATTATTTAGACTTAAAGACACCAGAACAGATCTGATTCACAACTGGGGACAGCCTGTACCTAAGCTCACTCACCACTCCTCCTTCAAATATACCCGACTAGAAGCCAAAGAGCCCATGGATAGAGTACACAAAAGGCAGAGAAGAGGGACAACTGGACCTGGAAGGGTCAGCTTCCCCACCCACCCCCACCACCCCCGTACTGATCACGGCCAAACATGGGGTAAAGGTCCTTGAATGCTAATACTATTCAGGAAAAGACTTGAGTTCAATAACTCCATTTAATCTTCCCCCACTCCGTGATTTCATCAACTATATTCTATGATAAATGTAGATAACTGGGCCCTATGAAAACTTGGTTTAGTTAATTCATTAATATGTCATATGAGTGAGTGTTCTCAAGACATACCAGGAGATTTCTGGTTAGAATAATGTTGTTGTTGCATATAATAGGATCAGCTGGAGCAGGAGACAGACTGAGGTGAAAAACACAGAGCCAAACTCTCACAAATCAATAAAGAACCACACTTGAACTCTTAAAAAACATTGCTCCTAAGCTGTTTCTATAAAGAAATGATCATTTGATATGTGTTATTACCTTCTGAGTTTTCATCTTCCCCAGAATTGGAATATAATGACTGTGTTCAGAAATCGATAAGGAATAAAGCTATCTATTAAGATACTAAAATTTGAAGCTTTCACATAGGTTAGTGGCTGAATATGTTCCCTATGAAAATTAAGCCGCAGATAGTTATAAAACACTATTTCCACAAAATTAAATGGAGTAACCAGCCAACACAGGCCAACACAGATTCTACCAGCAGCAAGGCCATAGCAGGCCACCCACACACAATCCATTCCTGTCTCCTCCACACCCAACCGTGGCCACTCACTTTTACTGCTCCAGTGGGGGTCTCCTGGAAGAAGGTGGCAGACATCAGAGGAGCATGGCGGCCGTCAACAGACTTCTTAGCACAGCAGAGCTGAGGTGCATTTTACAAATCCTGCCGCTGAGGAAATCTCATTAGGTCTCATTGCCACAGTAAGAGCAGTCCAAGGGGGTGTCAACTCTTAGAGCCAAAGTTGGCTCACAACGGGGCAATAAGAGTCCTTCAAAGCAATCCATATCAGTGCCCAATTGAACTGTCCTCTGAATATGCTGGTTGAATATGATTGGATATGCCTCAGTCAAACCTCTCAACAGTGGCTTCCTGGGCATCCTGTGTGCACAAGTGCCATTTTACATGGCAAGGGAAGTGGGAACTCCTCCAAGAAGAAACATCAACTTCTTTCTGACATTTGAGAGGCCAGTTTCTCCTCAAAAGCGCAGGCTCAGTTCCCAGTGTTAAGTGTTGAGTCAGGAGAGGCAGGGCAAGAA